CTGCCTCCAGAGCCCCCCGCTACCTGGAGCTCCCCGCCCCCTCCAGAGGCCCCATCGGCTTTCCAGGGCCCCCCGGAGCCCCCTGCACCCCTCGGGCCGCCTTACCAAGGCTCTGCCCCACCGGGGTGCTGAACGGGTTCCCCAGCAGAAACTCCATCTTGGGATGACAACAAACAGCGGCCCGGCGGCCCCCCCTCCCCCACCCCGCCCTGACTGGCATCCGCGCACACCAACCGCAGCTTGTTCTGCCAGGCGTGGCCCGCCTCCTTGCATTCGATTGGGCGGCGGCTGGACGCCCCGTGGAGTCATAGGTTAGAGAGGGTGCCCATCACTGTCAAGCGAGGGGCCGCCCCCGCGGTAGTCCCGCCCTTTCCACGCCCACCGGTTGATGGACAGCGGGGACAAAGCTACGGCCATTCTCCATTGGGCAACGGCCAAACCATTCTCTAATGTTATTGGGCAACAGGAACATCAATCATGAGCGCCTCCTCCCGCTCCGAGGGCACGGTGCCAGCGCTGATTGGCTGACATGGATTTCTCGCGCTCTGATTAGCGGCCAGCCTTCCCACCCTCTCCCTGACCATTGGCGGCTGAGCCTGTCACGTGGCCGCGTTAGCAACGCGCCTGGGCTTCCTTAGCAGCCGGCGCCGAGCCCCGGGGCCGAGGCCGAGGCGGAGGTGGGGGCCGGGCCGGGCACGGCACCGGGGACGCGGAGCGGGCCTGGAGCCTTGGGGACCGGGGGGTTTGAGAGGCCTGAGGGGCCCGGATCGGGTCGTGGATGGGTCTCGGGGGCGAAGGCGGCAGCCCAGCTGGGTCAGAGCCGCCCTGACAGGCAGAGTCAGGGTCCCCGTCCCGGGCCCTGCAGGGCCGGGGGCTGTCGGGGACGTGGTGCTGCTTCCCAGGCCTGGGCTCCGGCTGGCTGTGAGCAGCAGCTTCTTGTCTGGGTGGGCGACAAGCGGAAGATCTGGCAGGTCAAGGATGAATGAACCCAGAACCTGCTACTCCGTGGTCTGTACGGAGCACAGCTGTAAAGAGGTTTGATTTGTTAATTAAAAGCTATGACGAGGAGAGAACTCTCTAAACCCAGACGTTTATCCTTCCTGTCCTCCTACGCAAAAAATTGGCAGAACTTCTTCCATAATTGTAGACATCTTACGCAAGCAAAATAAGTCCTTCGTACTGATTCATTAACTGTGCATGGTTCTAGAAAGATAAGTAGTCTCATTGCCTCCTGGGCAACATCAGGGATATTTAAGTGACAAAGCCAGGACAGAAAGTTTTGACTGACAGAATTTTCTGTTCCCCAAAGCGAAGATGTTTATGTGCAGCACTATGTATTGATTGAACTAGACAGCCTTTACTATAGATCTGCATTAAGTGCCTTCTTCAGCAAATTGTTGTTATTGTTTGTAAAGTTTCCTCCTTCCTCAAATTTGTTTTCACTTTTATTATGATGTTGGTGTTTAAAATTTAGTGAACTGCTGTTGTTAATGTTCCTATTCTATAAATACACGTCTCTTACTCTATAAATCAAACTTGCCTATAATGAGAAACTTACCTTTTGAAACTAGATTCAATGGTGCACAGAGCCTTGAATATGCCCTCTTCATGAAGATCGGTTTCAGCAGCAGGTGATTGCCATGCGATGGACCATTGCTGTTGATAAGTGCTGCACGGGGCCTCCTTTCCTGGCCTATTTATCTGGCCAAATATCTGTCATTCTTCATGGAAAACACTCAAACATGGTGTGAAGTTTGCATGTGATGGTGCCCGGCCATTTTACAGTGCTGGGGCTGTAAGGCTGTGCTTAGAGTCAAATCAGTGACTTTGTGATAAAAGTCAATCTGTCTTTTATATCAGCTGTGAGGTATTCGATCTTCTTAATGCTCAGCTGTGCTCTTAATTCCTTGGAATTGTCATGCCTGTTCAATGAATGTTTGAAGTAGTAGCCAGGCATTAATTTTATTTATTTTTCTATTCTGTCCTTTAAGGGTGATACCATCTAAAAATGAGTCAGTTATACAATAGCATTGAGCCAAACATTATTGATGATGAAATGGTTCAGAAAGCCATTGAAGAGCAGTGTCCAGAGGACATAGGACAGCTTGCCAAAAGGGAAGGTATTAACCTTAAGGATGTGACGGAGCTACAGCTTGGTTTTAGAAGTGAGTATCAGAATATATACTTTTTTTCTTCTTCTTTTGTTAAAGGGTAGTAGAATTAAGCATGAAGTGGCTAACTGGCAATTAAACAATCATGATTAGCTTGGATTTGTTATGTGAAAAGTAACATCTGGAGTTACATTTTTAGTCATACCTGTATGAAGTAGTTTCATTAGAGAGAGATGGATGCTTTTGCTGATGGGTAACGTTAAAGCTGCTTAGCTTTAAGCTATTATTGTCACTGCTATTCTTATTTAACATTTATATTGTGGTGACACCTACAGGCCACAGGCCTATTGGGCCCTTCTGTACGTGGACAAATCAAACCCTGGGCAGGCTCCGCCATCGCTGGTGATTATGTGAGAGCTATTTGGTAGATTATGGTGATTACAGTCCAATTCGGTGGCTTCCTCCGGTCATCCATAGCATTATCGCAGCTTGCCTCTTACTGTCAAACCAGTCATAAACTTGCATTCAAAAAATGAGAAAGAAGAACATTTGGCTCAATATTTGAGTATTTTGGGCATATGTAATTTCATGGGCAAAAATCTGCTTTTGATTAACCATTGCGTGCTTCAGTAAAATAATGCATGTATTAGTTGAGTTCCTTAGAACAGACTCCCTGTTACCTGATCCTGCATGTATTTGTTTGCAAATACAAAGTATAGAACTGTGTGAATATTTTGTGCATGCAATTACTTGCTTTACTCTGCACTCACTAAACAACAATGGCAGTAGAGCAGCTAACGAAATCTTCTGGGAAGCCATTGTGGGGGGAAAGAGAATTGGGAGTGAGAATGTTCTGTATTTTCTGTCACCTTGGTCCTAATGTTTTGCTGTAGTGCCTAACGACCTGCCCTTGTGATTCTGTTTTTGGAGAAAGCTAAATGCAGGGATATTGATTAGTTCTAAACTGCAGCCTTCACAGAAAGAGTAGACCCCAACTTGCTCTCCTGTGATGAGAATCCCAGAAGCAGGAGAGTAATTTACAAAAGCGGTAGCTGGCCACTGCTAGCCTGCAAATGCAGAGAAAAGCAGAGTCTCATCCCAAACCTCCCTCTTGGAGCTGGAAAGGAAAATGAAGGTCAAGGCCTCCTAGTAGTGGATTCATAAAGCCACTCTTGACTGCAGGGCCATAGCCAGCGTCCCCTCAGTGACTCGTTGGCATCACTGATGAGCAGTGTGTGCTGGTGCAGGACAATGAGGTTACTGGACTGTTTCATTGAAATCTCGTCCAGCCAATGGACCTCTCAGCTCTCTAGGGCAGTCATCACATGCTATCGTAATCTGCTGAAAATAATTTTGGAGGTAACACTGGACATGTTTTCCTTGTGCAAGATAGTGTGTCTGCTAAACTGAAAGCTGTCTCACATGAAAAGCAATTTTCTTTTATTTTTTTCCTGTGGCTTTAGATATCCTGCAGATTGATAATCTGTGGCAGTTTGAAAATCTGACTAAACTGCAGCTGGACAACAACATCATTGAGAAGATAGAAGCTCTGGAGAGTCTGGTTCACCTTGTATGGCTTGGTAAGATACAAGCATATGAGGTTGGATGCCCTCACAGGTGCAAAGCAATCTGCAGTTAAGCCAGGATGTCGCATTCCTTCTCAAACACGACTGATAGGAGCTTTCCTAGGGAAGGCTGTCAGCTGTCTGTATGTTTCCTCATTTGACTGTCAAATGTCAAAATGCCTGAATATCAGAGCTGCAAAACAATCCTTCAAATCCTTTAAAAACTGGTTTTAATACATTTGGTGTGGCAGGAACAGGAAGCTGAGGTTTCAAGGTTGTTTCCAGGGTTTGTACTTGTATTTGGAGATGACTTTCAGAATATTTATGGAAACACCTCTGTGATTTAGAAGCCTGTATTCTGTTTTCAGACCTAATGCAGGCATTTCAGAGCCTAGAACCCACTGTCTTTACCCCTATATGTTTAAGGGCTTGTCATCATTGTTGTCCCAAAAAGTACCCATCCTTGTAGTCTTATGTGACTACTTTCAACTAAAAACTCAGGATGCTGAGAGCAGCATCTCACAGGGGTGCAGGTTTTGATGCTAGGCAGATCGGTGATCTTGCTGCTACAGATGCATAGCTTAGAGCATTCTCCTGGAACTGCAGGCATGTTGCTGGCTGAAAGTGTAAATATATCCTTATCCATCTTTGAAAATAGCATGCAAGGCTTCAGTTCATAAGCACATCTTGAAATGCCTAATAGGTTCTTCTGCCCAGTTCTCTGCACTGTTCTGCTGCACAGATGACTAATGCACTTGTGAATCAAGAGCTGATCACCCACCACAATGTAAGCAGAGTGTTTTGAAGCACACTCATGGGTTTCATTTGCCCAAAGGCTGCAGTGGTTCAGGAGCTGCTGCATGAGTGTCTTAGCCATCCAGGGGCTGGGGTGACGCAGACAGCTGGTAACCTCATCAACCATCTTTGGACTCCTGAATTGCTCCATACTGGCCTGAGGGCAAATACTGCCCTTAGTCATGATGAATGTAGGTGTTAGGATAGATGTTCTGGCAGGAAAAGAGGAAATTTCAATAAGTGAAATAGCTAAAGTGAGTACATGCCTTTGCATACCTCCATTAACAACAGGGCGATTGTTGGTCCTATGGGAATGACCATGACAGTGGGCATTGGTGTGGCAGGCAAGAGTCTGCAAGAAACAAGGCAGGGAGTGTCAAATTTGTCACAGAAATACCCCCCCTTTTAGGGCATTTCCCCACCTCTTTTCTTGTGTTTTGGTTTTCCCCATAAGGTAGAAGTCGCTTTCAGGTTGTGTATGTAGACTCCACAAGGAAAGCCTTCAACTGTTCTTCTCATTTAAAAGTTGCATGGACAGTTGAAAGAAGATGTGAACGAATGATGATGCCTTTCCAGTGGGACACTGAACACCCCTGAGGAAAATACTGTACATAAACTCCTAAATCAAGAATCAGGCTAAATGCAAGGTCTGAATCAGGGCGTTCTGCTACAGATAATTTAACTTTTGCTTGTAAAACTTTTTTGATTTCTA